TAATTTCAGGGAATATGCTGTAAGAAGAACAAGAGATGCCTTCAAAGAACACAAAAATGAAGATGATCCTAAGAAAATATCCTCTTTATTGAAATCTGCTGAGGAAAACTTGGACATCATAAGACGACAGGTTTTTAGCTCACCTGAGCCGAAGGCTCAAGTGAGCTTTTCTGATCACATTTTTTCCGTCGTCCGTCTGTCTGTCCGTCTGTCCGTCCGTCTGTAAACTTTTCACATTTTCGACTTCTCGTCAAGAACCACTGGGCCAATTTTGACCAAACTTTATACAAAGCATCCTTGGGTGAAGGGGAATTTAAATTGGTAAAATAAAGGGCCAAGTCCCTTCACAAGGGGAGATAATCAAGAAAAGACAAAAATAGGGTGGGGTCATTAAAAAATCTTCTTCTCAAGAACCAATGGGCCAATAAAACTGAAACTTATGTGGAAGCACCCTGGGATAGTGTAGATTCTAAATTGTTCAAATCATGACCCCCTGGGGTTGGGCAGGGCCACAATGGGGAATCAAAGTTTTACATAGAAATATATAGGAAAAATCTTTGAAAATCTTCTTCTCAAGAACCACTGGGCCAGAAAAGCCGAAACTTATGTGGAAGCACCCTGGGGTAGTGTAGATTCTAAAATGTTCAAATCATGACCCCTGGGGTAGGGCGGGGCCACAATGGGGAATCAAAGTTTTACATAGAAATATATAGGAAAAATCTTTGAAAATCTTCTTCTCAAGAACCACTGGGTCAGAAAAGCTGAAACTTATGTGGAAACACCTTGGGGTAGTGTAGATTCTAAATTGTTCAAATCATGACCCCAGGGGTTGGGCGGGGCCACATAGGGAATCAAAGTTTTACATAGAAATAGCTAGGAAAAATCTTTAAAAATCTTCTTCTCAAGAACCATTGGGCCAGAAAAGCTGAAACTTATGTGGAAGCACCCTGGGATAGTGTAGATTCTAAATTGTTCAAATCATGACCCCTGGGGGTAGGGTGGGGCCACAATGGGGAATCAAAGTTTTACATCGAAATATACAATGTATATGAAAAATCTTTGAAAATCTTCTTCTCAAGAACCACTGGGCCAGAAAAGCTGAAACTTAAGTGGAAGCATTCTGGGGTAGTGTAGATTCTAAATTGTTCAAATCATGACCCCCCCCCCCCAGGGTAGGTCGGGGCCGCAATAGGGAATCAAAGTTTTACATAGAAATATATAGGAAAAATCTTTGAAAATCTTCTTCTCATGAACCACTGGGCCAGAAAAGCTGAAACTTATGTGGAAGCACCCTGGGGTAGTGTAGATTCTAAATTGTTCAAATCATGATCCCCGGGGGTAGGGCGGGGTCACAATGGGGAATCAAAGTTTTACAGAGAAATATATAGGAAAAATCGTTGAAAATCTACGAAAGCCCAGAAGGCTCATTCGAGATTCGAGTTTCCAAATACGAGATTCGAAATTCGAGATTCAAAATTCGAAATTCGAGATTCAAAATTCGAGTTTCGAGATTCAAGATCCAAACGAACCAATCAAAAGCGGGTTCAACATTTGATTACTCCCCTTTATTATGTTTTTACTATCAAGAAATAATTCAATATAATTATATCAAATGGGTCATTTGATTAAATTACAATGCAAGAAAAAGTGTTATATATATTAGACGTAAATTTAAATAATTAATGGATTTTTGATCAGCAAAAAATATATCAATTTATATTATAGATTCTTAAATATTAAATAGATTACTTATATCAGAAATATATATATGTTTGTATCGTCAACTAATTACCGGCCAGGAGGCGGTCGGCTCTATGACATGAAAGTTCGAAGTCGCTGTGCGTTTCTGCGGAGTTAAAACAATTTAAACTAGAGGTACTGTGAGCAATGAGCTCACTAAATGATACCCCCCGCCTCCCATAATGTCGATGTGTTGCTTTATATTGTTTTACGGTAATGTCCTATGAAATGTTATCCAGAAGCTTCTATTATGTGACGTCATAGGTAAACAAAAAATGGCAATGTCCATGTTTTGCTCTGGAAAACCTAAAATACGTGTCGAATAAAAAAGTAAAATAGGAGGTGCACAATGGCAATATGTAATAAAGATTCTGTGAAAGTTTCATTAAATTTCACTCAGTAGTATAAGAGGAGTTGCGGATAAGAGAAAAAGCGTAACAGACGGACGGACGGACGTACAGACGGACGGACGGACGGAAATCCCGATCACTATATACCCTCCCGCTTTTCAAGCGGGGGGTATAATAAAAAATATTTAACATTAATATAGTAGTATATTAAAAAGAGCGTCTTAAGGTTAAAGAAGAACGCACCATTATACATATATTACATGGCTTCGAGGGCAGCATACCAGAATATTTGCCCCTCGGTGACAGGAAAGCCCTGGAGTGTTATGTCGCCCGATGCCGCAGGCAGAGGGCGACATAACACTCCAGGGCTTTCCTGTCACCGAGGGGCAAATATTCTGGTATTGCTGCCCGAGAATTAAGCCATGTAATATATGTTATATAACATTTTTAAGCATTGAACCCAAATCGATCATCGAACATATTTATTGAACATTATGTACACATGTATATGTACATTGATTATAATTCCGAAATATCCCGTCCTGTTTCATGGCAGAATGTTTTCAGTATGCTGACACTTGTGTTGATAACCTTTGTTGTATTAAAAGAATTTTTCTCCTCAATTAAATTATCTAATTCCTCTGAATTCAAATAAACAAATCGCATACGTTGTCTTGACTTTCTAACTTTCGCGGAACTGTTTACGTTTGCCTAGCAACTGCCTCTGTGATTTTCGAACCCGACGTAATTAATATGCGGAATGATTGCACGCGAGGGAACATAACTGTGTTCGGGAGGGCAACATAACTGTTTACGGGGAACATAACTGTATCCGGCGTGATTCGGCAGTTTTTCAGGGCATATAGATAAAAATATTATATTTGTGATATAATGGGAAAACTTCTTCAAAAATGTTATATAAACATATAATTAAAAATTCTTATGAAGAATGAGGTAAATATTTCATCCAATCCTATTTATGAACTTAGACATGTTTGAGGTGCGGAGAAAATTAGGACATGTGTTGGGCGTAGTCTAAAGCAAAGACCGCGTTATGTATATTACGCAATTTTACTTTCTCTATTCAAACGGGATTTGTTGTACGTATTTATTTTAAAATGACGTGTACATATGTACATATATAAACATTTTGAAACATATGTTTAAATGTTAATTCATTAAAAGACTTAGCAGGCTACAGAATATTACAAGATTTGGCCCTTAGCAGACGAGGATAATGCACGTTTTACAATGTGCCAAGAATTTTCCCGCTACAACTCAAAGAGAAGAAATGTAGTGGCGGATCTAGAGGGACCATAAAAGGAACAATTAATTGGTTTGCGGTCGATTTTTGACGCTTGCGTCAATATATGTTTCTTGTCTTAATTTTTAGAAAAACACAGGTACGTGTGGACAAGACCCCCCCCCCCCCCCCACCCCCATCCCCTTGATATTGAACCTCAGGGCTTATTTCTCTGTTATGTGTAACCTTACAATACGAAAAAATCGCTGGCGTAAAACCCCCAGAATAATCGCTCAACCAAAAAAAAAAACCAAAACAAAACAAAAACAATTTATTACCCCACTTTACAAGAAAGAATGCTGTTTACGGAGAAAATGTGGGATTATTACGTGATAAAGAGTCAGTCCGATAGCATGGACTAAGATAGAAATACATTGTATATTTAGAGACAGTGCAGTGGCGGATCCAGAGGGGGGGGGGGGTTACGGGGGTTGCAACCCCCCCTTTGGATTTGCAATTTAAGAGAAAGAGAAATAAAAAAGTTCCAATTTTTTCGTTGTGTTTTTACTATAGGAAATGTAAGGTGAAAGGCTAATGTTGTATTATATAAAGAAATTCGGTTGTAAAAACAAAATAAAAACCCTCCCTTTACAAAATAGGATTTTCAGGTTCGGAGATTTATTTTCCTTTCTTTTTCAAAAACTTTCTGGTAATGTATACAAGTACTTTTTCCCAGATTGATCAACGTCCCACTTTCAAAAACCATACTCCACCCTGTATCGATATTCTATTGAGTTATTTAACTATATGTATGTGTACAACGTACGTTTTAACTGTTTTCGCCTTCAACCCCCGCTTTTGAAAAATACTTCAAACCCCCCCCCCCCCCCCTTTGAAAAATTTCTGGATCTGCGCCTGCAGTGTGAATCGACACTTAAAGTTAAAACAAAATAAATGCATTTAATACCAGAGGGGGTACAACGTAAACAGACTGGAGTGGCATATCTTTCTCTTATAATGTATAGTGGGTATTTAGGGGGATGTTGAGCGATTATTCTGGGGATTTTACATTTTTTTGTTATTGTATACATGATGAATAAGTTAAATAAATATATCTTATGAAAAAAATTTCCAATAAGCCCTTGGGTTGAATATAAAGAGAGTGTGAGGGGGGGGGGAGGGGGAGGGGGGGTCCCACCCACAAGTACCTGTAGTTTTCCTAACAGAAGAAATTCATAAAAATGACGCTTAGTAGACAATTCAAAAATGTATATACTCCTGATATATGAAATCTATTTAATATTTAAGAATCTATAATATAAATTAAAATATTTTTTGCTGATCAAAATTCCATTAATTATTTAAAATTTCCTTCTAATATATATAACACTTTTTCTTGCATTGTAATTTAATCAAATGAACCATTTGATATAATTATATTGAACTATTTCTTGATAGTAAAAAATAATAAAGGGAAGTAATCAAATGTTGAACCCCTTTTGATTGGTTAGTTTGGATATTGAATCTCGAAACTCGAATTTCGAATCTCGAATTTCGAATCTCGTATTTCGAATCTCGAATCTCGAATGAGCCTTCTGGGCTTTCGTAGAATAACTGAGTTGCATTTTTAATTTTAAAAGAAAATAACCATTTTATTGGAATCTCACCATCTTCGTTCCAAGCGCCCTCTATTTGATATGCAGAAGTAGATGCTCCCCATTTGAATTCAGAAGGAAATTTTCCAAAATAGAACGTGTTTGCATAAGGTAACTCTCGATACACTCCTAATGCCTTCCCGTTCGTAGGCGAGGTTGCTGCATCCTCCAAGAACCCGTTGTCATTTATAAGTTTGTTGTAAAATACTGCAGATAGTTTAGGAGTCCGTGGTCGCGATGGATCACTAAAGTTTACATAATGCATGCCAAACTTTTCAGCATAACCTGTGTTCCATTCAAAATTGTCCATAAATGACCAGGCTGTATATCCCTTTACATTGCATCCATCTAGTTTTACAGCTACAAGTAAATAAATTTCATAAGGAACAAAAAAATATGTAATTTTTTTTTTTGTTAACAACGAAAATTGCAATGCTCCAAACATAAACTTTTATTTTATTTTTTATCTTACCTTTTAGCATCTCATTTATGTAGTTTCTGTAAAAATATACGCGGTTGCAGTCTTCTAGTGATCCATTTCTATCCGAGACTCCATTTTCTGTGATGTATACTGGAACATTATTATATGTATTTTTTACCCAGTTTAACACTTTCCTTAGACCAAATGGAGTTACAAAAAGCCAGCTAGACCCAGAACTACAAAGAAAAATTGTAGCCTTTAAACGCTTTCGTTCAAAAGTAAGTTAAAATTCTCTATACCAGTTCTTCCTAAAACTTTTTTTTCAAATCTTTATCATTAATTTCTACAAAAATAGCATACATGTAGAACACAAAGTTTGCTTACCCTAGCCACTTTGGATCGTTCTTAGTTCCAATATCTTGATCTGTCCAGTAAGAAATATCATAAAGGTTGTTCTTTTGAGGGAAGGTATAAGATGAGGAATAGTGATTAAGACCGAAGAAATCTGCCGTTTCTGAAGAGACATAGATTAAGAGATATGGAATAAAATTATCAAAAATAACTACGCTTTTTGTAGATAAATAATTTAAAAAAGAATCATTTTTTTGGATTACATGTATTAATTTCTGCTATATATTCTTACAGAAATGTTAATTTGATAAAGGATTAATTTTTGAATATCTATTCATGAAACTATACTATTTTTAATATATTAGATAAATTAGAAAATTATTATCATACATGTATAAAATAAATATTCAAGTCCGGGCCTTCTTATTTTTTTTCCTTTTCTGTAAGAAGTATTTATACATTACATTCTTACCGAGTTATATAATGTACATTCACATGAACATAGTATAGAAGTACAGACTGCAATCAATGTTATGATATAAATTTCACGGTCTTTTTTTTAACTCTTATAATTCTAAAATTGGTTCCTACGATTGATCCTCCTTTTCTCCTCCTCTGAAAACGCTGGTAGACGTGACTTCGAGAAGTTCTGAGCCCTGCTTTTCTCTGCTACTTTCTCAATCATGATGTCGGGGTAGTTGCCATTCACGTATATAGGATTAAGAAACCATCCAGCATCGAACTGTAATCTCCTCTCCGAAGCTTCAATGTCCTCAGGGTTAAATGGATTTAAAGGTTCCGCCCATCCTATGCTGTAGGTGATTCCATATTGACCTACAGGTAATTGATGAAGGGGAATTTAAATGGACAATGATTGGTGTAAGGAAAAGCACTGCATTTGATCTACATCTGTAATTTTTTTCATTTACGGTTTTGTGCTATGAGATTTTTTTTCCCAATTACCATTCTGGTAGTTATTCTCTTTCAGTATGTGGTATCCTTCGGCATGGGCTAGGATGATGTTACGTGTCACTATGTATGGGTATGTGCCAGGGTGATCACTTCGACCCGGTGCCATTCCACCATTTCCATAACAGGTCCAAGCAGTTAATCCAGGTTCATTAAAGGAAATCCATAATTTGACCTTATCCAATGTAATTTAACAATATTTATTTTTGAACATAAATAAACGGGGTTAATATGCAAGGAAATATGTACAATTCATACAAATGTGTAGACTCATAATACATGTGTACAAATTAATAATGACAACATTACGCAATTACAAAATAAAATAATACATTATAAAACTAGTTATCTATGCAATAAAAACTACACAAACCCTTGCAATAATAAGCAAGAAACTATTCATTAAAAAAAGATTTATATTCATCAGTTTACATTTATTAATTAAACATCTGTTCAGCAAAAATAATAATATTTGAACGTACCCTGTCGCCAAACTCCCTAAAGCATACGTCCGCATAATCTCTGAAGTGATAGACCGTGCTTTCGTTTAGCCAGCCTCCGTTGTCCTCTAATGCCTGGGGTAGATCCCAGTGAAATAACGTCACCATTGGTGTGATGTTATATTTGATAAGTTCGTTAGTCAGGTTGTTGTAGTAGGCGATTCCCTCTCGATTTAGACTCTCTTTAGTACCATTAGGAAATATCCGGGGCCAGGAGATGGAAAAACGGTAATGGGACACCTATATTTTATGTAACTGATAATCATTTCAGTTTTACTTATTTTTTACTAGCTTCAATATAAATTTAAAAAAAAAATCGTAAATTCCAGGGTTCGATAATAGATACAACTAGTGTTTATGCTGAAGACAGTAAAGTTTAATCTTTTTTTCATGGAAATCATAAAGTTATCGGACGTATAGAAAGCCAAGCAAACTATCGATTTTAAACTCTAAAGATAAATAGAGTTTAAATAGTTATTGTAATACTTTTATTTCTTATAAAAGATACTGAAAACTGCCGATTTAGACCTTGTAAATTTCAACTTATTTTCATATAAATGAAAATGCATATCAATAAAAATGTTATTTGTTTAATAGCTTTGAATTTTTTGTACACAGAAAATGTTTAATTTATTTTGTTTCTTAATCATTACCCCAAGGTTTCTGAGTAACTGTACGTCCTCTTTGTATTTGTGATAACTATCACAAGCTACGTCACCAGTGTCATTATTTTCCACGTGTTTATATTCATGCACCCACGTATCCCATACACTTGGCCCTCGTCCTGAGGAAAAATCAAATTATTCTCATTAAAAGTAGGATTTTTTTGAAGCAAGCAGTCTTCTAAATTCATATTTTAGTGCCTAAAATGTAAGGTTCTTTCATTAAATTTTCAGTAACTTTGAATCTGCTTAAAAAACAAATGAAAAAAAAAACCGGACAGTTGTGAATTTAAATAAGTCCCTAAGTCAAGTTAGTGGGCAAACAAAAAAAATATTGAATGTTAATATTCCATGTGAAGCAGATGAATATTACAAGAGACGTTAAAGTTTCAACTTGCTTTCATGCGCCATGTAAAAATATACTTTTTCCTTTATTTTTACATAATTTTCTTATAAGATGTGGCTTCCATGAAACTTGAAATGCATGCACATAAAATGTTACTTTTTGTAATGACAAGTGAAGAAATTGTTTTAGGCAAAGAGAAAATAGAAACAAGAACTGATTTTTTTTAAATAGTCAAAAAAATATGTACATGTTTCTAATAATATTAGGTGTATATATTTTTTTTAGGATCTGCTGTGTAACGCTACAGCTGGTGGGCGTGACTGCTCTACAGAGTATTGTGAATGTGTCTACGTAGAGAACTCTTGCTGTGGCCTTCAATCTGACATTTAGGGTATATGATGATGTATTTTAAAATCAAGTTAAAATATTTATAAATTTTGTTTACTAAGTATATATACGTATGTCAATTAGATATATCTCCGCGAATTTAAAAAAAAAACTATGGATCCTGCACACTCTCTGTTCAAATTTTATTTTTGAATGCAACTCTTTTAAACTATTATTTTCAAAAGCCAGCTAACAAAAAATTTTATGACAAACCTTTATTAGAGCGGATTTTCCATTGTCGACATTAACCTTTTTTAATGTAATACATTTGTTTTTAAAGTTTTTTTTATTGAATTTATACACAGATAAGCAGATCTACAACCCTCCAAGAAATCAAGCAATTAGACGCTACCGGGAACATGACCAAAAATCTAAACAGATCTGTCATTAAGGACACAGTTAAATTGATGTTACAGGGCTTACAAAAACCTCGCTTGAAGTCGGCATTTCGCAAATTCTTTGATCTTTGTAATGACCATTTTAGCAAATATAACATGTCATTGGGTTGAGTTTTGGTAGACGTAATTTTATTATGTTTTGGCAGACTTGCTGTTTTATTACTTTGTTTTACCGTTATTTCCCGATCATGACAAGGATCACACGGCTGAAATGAGTTTCTTTTACCTTTCACCTTTTAGTCCTTTTATTTAGATCTTTTTTTACAAAATGCACTGTATGAGTATTATTCCGATTCCGTTACATATAAATAATCAGAGGAATTTGTCCTGTTTCATAATCATACAGTATTATTATTGGCATATAATCATTTTACGATATATTATTGTTATCTTATCGACATACAGAAGTTTAATTGTACATCATTAACATACAGAAGTTTTACTTGCACATCATGAACATACCACACCCACTTTATTTCTATCAGCAAAATTCAGTATGTGTTATTGGTATATCCTATTTTGTATTTTTTTTTTGGACTTTTGATCTTGAATATACAGATGTATTTTTATTTATATAACCACGGAATGTTCTATTTATCTGATCAATATATAGGGCCAGTGTGTCTGGTGAACGGGGATGTTTTCTCGGAGAAATTGAACAAATGCCAAAATCACCAATTAATTTTCCAAAGTGTGGATCTGGAAACTAATTTCCCCCTATATATAAAAGTTTTTGATTTTCCTTTAAATGATATTAATTAATGAATTTGGAAATTCCATTTACATGCTGTTTTCAGGTTAATAAAATTGTTATCCCTTCAAATGATTTTGATGTGCCTCGCTTCTAAAATGGTTTTTAATGGATAACAATTTCACACGTTACCCTAAAAAGCATGCATTATTTTGGTAATAAAATATACTGAATGAGCATAAAGTACTATAAACTGTGTTCATAAATTTGGCACAGTCAATTTGTTCAAAAAATAAAATCTTGTCGTCAAGCAATGTTGACTGTTGCTATATTCTATCACACTGGAAGGCATGGTTTCACTATTCAGGATGTTCTCAAATTAAATAAAGTTTCTTCACGAAATTAAAATACAATATGATTAACTCGCTTTTAGGAAAACGATTTCATTCCATGTTGTTGAAACATCAAAGGTCTTAGTAGTACAATGATCTGTGCATAATTTAAACTAGCTTAAAAATTAATTTTCTCCAATAATCTATTGGAATTCCCATGGGGGACAAATTGCGCCCCGTTATTAGGAGTTCTATTTTTGTATTCATATGAAGCAGAATTCGTTCAATTATACGTAAAAAGAAGGAAATAGTTGATGTGGCCTTCAACACGACGTTTAGATATAACAACCACGTATTGTCAAATAACAATTAATATTGCCATTCTTATGTCTATACGATATATCCCGGGGGGCTTGAGATAAAAGATACCACAAAGTCTGACACATCTGTTTCATATTTGGATGAAAAATATGGAGATATCGAACAGTATTCAAGATCAAAAGTCCGTAAAACAATACAAAACAGGATCAGAGCAAACACGGACCTCCAAAACATCAGAGATGGGATCAGGTGCCATGGAGGAGTGAGCATCTCCTTACGACCGGTCACACCCGCTGTGTGCTCCTTGTCATGGTCAGAAAATAATGGGAAAATTCGTCGTCATTTCAGTGTATAAATAATTAATGAACTAACAATTAGTATGAAAAACGTCAGTCAGCATATGACTCAATTGTATTTGCTGACAAGGTCATTGTATCGACCATAGAACTTACGGAATGATGAATTTAAAAGAGACTGCTGATATTATTTTTTCATCAACTTGTTTCTCAATGATTTACCTCGTTTTAGAAATTGTTCATACGTAGAGCATGCTCTTACGTATCGAATCAACTGAGATATTTACTTGAAAAGGACGTTAATGGTAATCTAACAACCAAACTCTATCATAAACGTGATGACTTGAACTTTCCTTACTTAATAAGTATACCCTCATCACCTGCAGACGGAGTTTATATATCTCAGTTAATTCGATACGCAAGAGCATGCTCTACGTATGAACAATTTCAAAGTTCTATGGTCGATACAATGACCTTGTCAGCAAATACAATTTATCATTGAGTCAAATGCTGACTGTTGTTTTCATACTAATTGTTAGTCCATTATTTACACGCTGAATTGACGACGGATTTTTCCGTTATTTCCTATTCATGACAAGAAACACAATTTTAATGATGCACAGAAATACAAGTGTATCATCAGGTGAAGTTTATCAAATAATCAACTTCAATTTTTCTATCGTCAGCTCCCCTAATAAATTATGTAGCAATAAACCCTTTACGTACGAACAATTTCTAAAAGAAAGCAAGCTATCGGCAAACAAGTCGAGGAAACAAAGAAATCAACAAGTATTGTTTACATCAACATTTTGCAAATTCTATGATCGATAAAATAATTATTTTAGCCGCAAATACAATCAGCAATACATTACTGAATGACGACTTTGGTAGTTATATCTTATTACTAAAAGAAATGTAAGTTAACAAATTATTAATTACTAGTATCATTTTTTATAATTACAAAATACATATATTTTTTATGTTGGATAATGTCAAAAAGGGCGCATCTTATAGACTTCTTTGGCAAGAAAACCTCTAAAAGAAAAGCAAGAGACAAATCCATTCATTTATTCTCTTTATAAAAAACATCAACATATTTTATGATTAATATACACAATTTTCTCGGTAACTGTCACAAAATCAGTATCTGTCATCAAATTACAGAATGTACATACATAGTTTTTCTGTAACAGTAAAAGTATTTCAGAAAATCTTTTCGAATATTACATAATACTCCTACATTGCATTCAGTATTAAAGTAATAAAATTAGTCTCCATATTACATAAAAAAGCATACTCTTTTATTTCTTTCAATATTTAATATTCCATCTACCCACCTGTATTTGAAGAGGATGGTTAATTATTCTGAAATTTGAGAAGGAAAACGTAGACTTTTTTGTTTTTCCGAATACAATTTATTGATATATTCTTGGCGAACAAGCTGGATAATGTCGAAAAGGACTCTGTTATTAGATTTTTTTTGGCAGGAAACCTCTGAAAAGAAAAACAAGAGACAAATCAGAATGTTTAACTGCTCTTACGAAGGAAAACACACCATAAAACGCCCCTTTTAAGGATGCAACTCAAGTATCAACAGTAAGAATGTATATACTCCTACTGTAAATAATACTTAATAGCACATGTAGCTTTAAAATGCAAGAAATTGTTTATAATATGGGGATGAGACGATTTCTAAATCTTAGTCCTTATGACTAAAATCAAAATATTTTAACCAAAAGAAACTAGTCAAAATTAGATATTCCAACACTTTCTTAAAACTTAATATGTACTTGTATACTTGTAATATAAGATTATATATACTTACTATACACTCTAACAGTTCAATTTTTTTTTTTGACAATATTACATAACTATAGCTAATCCTAACTCTTAAATTCAGTATAATGGCAGAAAAACATTACAATGTAAAAAATAAAAATACTTATTCTTACAAAGTGCACAACAATCAGTTGTTTTAAAATACTTTTTAAGGATACTTAATTTTGAATAAGGCATTTCTACTATGTTGCAATAGAATAGTGACTAAATTAGTACATGTATAACAATGCTATGTAAAATTGAATATATGTAAAACATTAAGAATTTGGAAGATTTCATATAAAAACAACAACAAACAACAACAAACATCAACAACAGAAACACAATATAATAATTTAGTTCTAGAAAGAATCATGATTTTTTTTTGTTGCTTATTTACCCTATATTTTTACATCTAAATTCAATATTGTTATGCGTTGTATTTCATGTTTTATTTTATATATATATATATATATATATATATATATATATATATATATATATATATATATATATATATATATATATATATATATATATATATAAAATGAACAGGCTAATGGCTAATACAGAATATTTGGACCATCATGTGTCATTTCTACATTTTCAAAATTTAGAACATCACACATGGAACATCTAAAGACACGCATTTTTAATTGTCCTATACATATGGATTAGATTTTAATATTTTCATTTTGCCAACCACCAAGGATATTTAAAAGTCCCAAACAATCAAACAGACAGACAAAAAAAAAAAAACAAAAAAAAAAACACAACAACAACGAAAACATAACGATGGCACTAGATTAAAAATACATTGTA